GAGCTTTACAGATGAGGAGTTTCTTGAAAAACATGTTATAGATGAAACATGTTTCTAGTAATTTTGCCCGAATACTTGGATCTAACTTTTAACAGTCTGCTCGTTCAAACCATAGTGTGAAGCAATGCTTTAGGGGGGAAAAGGTCGGCATGGTCGACTGTTTCTACATTTTACTGAAATAAAAGATTTCACTGGAATGAGGCATGACATATGAACTTTCGCGAGAAGAAGATCATACTGTGGAATAAGAGGAACAATCAAAATTTTCGATCTCGCTGATTCCACTTATGCCTTCAAGGAGATTATTATAGAAGAGATCAGGTTCATGGCCTAATGGAGTCACGACGCCCATCCCCGTCACCACGACCCTCCTTTGCTTCATATCAGTCCTTCTCTTCTCTTCCACTTGCTTCGCAGGCTGCACTGCTATCGCCATCACTTTTCCTGAAGTCATATGAACATATAAACTACAATGAGCGGAGAAAATACATTATAGCGTGGAAAAGTATTAAATAGCTAATGTTTCACAATAGTGGTGGTTGATATGTTAAAAAAGTTAAGTTGATAACTTGAATTACAATTTGACAACGAAGAGGGTGGAAAGGTTGATTGCTTTTGATGAGCTCAGTATTAAGAGATTCAATCTCCAGGCTGCAGATATTACCCTCATTTTCCTTATAAAAGCAAATAGTAAAGCTAACTACCGAGGCAAGCCAATGACACCCAATTCCTTACCCAAGCCCAGATTAATAAACTAAAAAATCAAACATGACAAAAGCTTGAAAAATAAATTTTTACCACAACGAGCACCCTTTGTCAGTCTTCGGTTAGTAGCAACCGTAAGTGGCTTCAACAACCGGTCGCTTTCGCACCTGGCCGACATGCAAGAAGCCATTGAATGAGAGGGAAATATTGGATTTTGAGAGGTGGGTTTTGATGGGTGAGAGGAGATTCTGAAAGATGACAGGAATAGAGTTTAAGCGAGGAGAAGGTTTAGGCCATTGCCAAGTGCGCACGTGCAAGAAGAGAGAGAGAGAGAGAGGAAAAAGATGTTTATCTTACAAAAAACAAGGAGAATCTCGGACAAAAACAGAAGGGAATAAAAAAAACAATGAGGCAGGTTTGAGGATGGACAAAAAGAGAAGAAATAAAGATTATTATCTTGCCAGTTTTGTTTTTTTATGAATAGATACATATGTTCAACCTGATCCATGAAGTCTTACCTGGCTGAAGTACTCTTAAATTAATCAGGTTTAATTGCACATAGACTCAAATGTGTTACTGGAGCTTCTTGTTACTTACTTCGGATAGTAGCAATGGCGCGATCATGTGAAGAATATCTCCGGGAGATCAGCCCATGGTCGCGATTCTTTATTTGATTTCTCGCTTCCTGATGGCATGATAAAACTGAAAGTGGATTCACCCGATGTCTATCTTTCTGCACAATGATGTTGATGACAATAATCAGAATCAAACACAAATTTAATATACTTACACTCTACATATATGTACACTTTATATTTAATGATAGTGTTTTAAGCAAACATGTCTATTTTAATTTTAAGGATCAATTACATTCACGTACCTTGAAGTCTGCGTATCAACATCGGTAACGCTGACGCTACTAATTGTGTCTGAATACACATCTCCTCAGAACCACCGCATGCGAGCGGGTGGTTCTGCATCATGGATGAGTGGGTGAAATTACTTTACTGCCCCTAACCGCACTCATCGATGATTCAGAACCCTCACCCACATGCGGGTGGTTCTGAGGAGATGTGCGCTCATATTGTATCTATACAGTTAGCCTTGAAGAGGACCAAATAACAGACTCCAAGTCATATGTACAATTACAATCAGTAATTTCAGAGTTATCCATGTAAGGTCTAGATTCTAGACTTAGTTGTAGTTGCACCAGAGAGCCTAAACGTACCACATTGTAGTTAACACTAAAATTTAAAGTGACTAGCAATGCATAGTGATCAAACAAAGGAAATACCTATGGATTTTCAATTTGGTTGTGCCCCAACTATACCAGAGATAAAGGGTGTTCTCCCAGAAACCACCTTAAAAACAATGTAATTATATGGAGGCAACATTTCAATTAGTAGATACATATTTGAACAATGTAGGACTGAAACAGTGACACAGTGCACAAGATAATGCACGATCCCACGAAATTGCTAACTTCGCAGACAACCTCAGTAACAGAAAGTTATACAAACTGAGTGCACAGTCCCAGTCACCCAAAGCTGAAACTGAGCGCACACAACACAGTGCACAAGAGCTCATGGCACATATCAGAAACTGAGAACAACTAAGTGCACAACACAAAACAGTGCACAGACTCAGTGCGCAAAATATTCTTTACAAAAACCATTTTAATCAAATTCACAACACTTATTTGCATACAGAAATTCATAGTAGCACGAAAAGAGTTCATCAAACACAGATAGTACAAAACAGGTAGCTTGGCCACAGATAGTTTCATCGAAGCATGGTCATCCACAGATTTCATCAGAACACAACACTGTCGGTATTAGTAGGCCTCTGTTTCAGTTACCGTAGATAAAGCTATTTCACTCTTGATCTTTGTAAAGTGGAATGCCAGTGAGGTTGTGTTGCCATCACTCTACACTTACTTGCCCATCTGAAATAAAACGAAACACGAAAAATTAGCAAATGGATCCATATAAATTGAACTATTCCACTGACAAACTTAGTTGTGACACTGACATGTTTTTGATAATTATGAAGTAATGTCCAGAAATAACAACAGTAGCGAGGCATCTGATCCCAAATCTTTTGATGGAATCTTTAAATGTAAAGCTATACACATTATACACTTTGGAAATGTTGGAATCGTAGATATTGTACTTAGGTTAAAAATGGATAAAAGTTGGAGAGCAATGTGAGATCCGTGTTGAGGCTTAATCGGGTAGGAGTGCAGTGTCTTGGTACACTTGTGAGTGTTCATTAGGCTTATTTTGACAATTATACATGCAATGTGCACGTCTATAAATAAGAGAATATATGCATGCACACACCCACCAACCCGCCTAACTCCCCACCCCTGTGCACGCACGCACATGTATAAAGGCATAACATTTGATAGTCATGACAAAAAACATGTACCAATAAATCACGCCCTGAGTTGATATGTGTTATGTTTTGACCCAAATTGCTATTCGGACCCATTGGGCTTTGTATCTTTAATATGTAGACTCTTTTGTATGAGAGAAAATTAAGTCTAATACAATTCACCTTTTGAGCTGTTTTTTTGTCTCTGGCTCTCTTCCTCTTCTCAAACTCTTGAAAACCCTAACAAATTGGTATCAGAGCTACCGTCGCCGTCAGATCCGCCTCCGATCAAGCTCCGCCGACGGCATCAGATCAAGCTTCATCAGCCCCGACTTGTTCCTCTTGAAGATTCTCGACAGCATCGGTGATGTCAAAGCCCTAGGTTGCTGCTGCCTCGTTTCTAGAAGGTTCCAGAGCCTCGTGCCTCTCATCGATCTCGTCGTCGTCGTTCTCCACCGACTGCATCAGATCCGAGTTCGCCGTCGAGCAGCAACAGCTGCCCGCACCAAACTCCCTCGTCTCTGATCCGTCGAGCAGTCTCCCTCGTTTGATAGGCTTGGGTTTTATATTGGGGATTTTGTCCATTTTTGACCATTCGCTGCTCAAATTGAACCAGAGGTTCAGAGTTTCTTTTTCTGGGGTGTTTGGTGTTTTTTGATTAAATCTGAAGCTGTTAAATTAGAATTTGTGAATGGAGATGTCTGAGAAATTTGATATTGAGAAGTATGATGGGAAGACGAGTTTTGCACTTTGACAAGTGCGGATAGTTGCCATATTGTCCAGTCTTGGAATTAAGGGCGCCATATATGGTAGAGATAAGTTGGTTGAAGCCGTTACCGATAAGAAGTGGCTAGATATGGATGATAAAGCTTTCTCGACCATCCAATTGTGTTTGAGCAATTCAACACTTCAAGAGGTCCTTTCGGAAAAGACTGCCAAGGATTTATGGGCGAAATTGGAGAATATCTACATGAAGAAGTCCCTTACCAACCGATTGCGGTTAAAGTTGCGCCTCTACACTCTTCGTATGGTAGAAGGTACATCCATTTCCGATCATATTTCGGAGTTTGCATCATTGTTAAATGATTTGGACAAGTTGGATGCTAAGATAGAGGATGAAGACCAAGCTTTATTGTTGTTGTGCTCATTGTCGGCTTCTTATAAGACTTTTAGAGACATGATGATCTATAGACTATAGTAGAGATCAAATCACTCTTGAGGATGTGAAGAGTAATCTACAAGCCAAGTTATATATTGATAATGAGATGATCAATTTGGAGAAAGGAGATCAAGGCGTTGGTTTGGTTGTTGATCGGGGTAGGTCGAAGGACAAAACCCCGAAATATTCAAGGACCCATTCAAAGTCCAGACACAAGAATCTCACATGTAATTATTGTAAGAAGAAGGGACACATTCTAGTCGATTGTTTCAAGCTCAAGAACAAACAAAAGGCGAATAAAGGTGCTTCTTCGGAGGAGGCTAATGTGGCCGAGTGTGACACGGTTGATACTCTTTGTGTGGTAGACACCAATGTTGATGACAAGCATTGTTGGGTGATGGATACGGGTGCTTCGCAACACATGATTCCGAATAGAGATTGGTTTGAGACTTATGAGCCTACGGATGGTAAGGTTCTCATGGGGAACAACAACATGTGTAAGGTTGCCTGAATTGGTTCGGTGATAATTAAGTTCCATGATGGAAAGGTCCGAAGGTTGACGAGTGTGAGGCATATACCCGATTTGTCAAAGAATTTGATTTCTTTGGGGTCTCTTGAGGAAAAGAAGTGCAAGTTCCAAAGTGAAGGTGGAGTCCTTAGGGTTTCTAAAGGGGCTCTCACAATCATGAAGGCGAAGAGAATTGGAACTCTTTATTTCCTACAATGTTCCAGGGTCACGGGCTCGGCCACCATTGCGCGTTCGGGTACTATCTCGGATGCGGATGCTACAAAGTTGTGGCATATGAGATTGGGGCATATGAGCGAGCGAGGAATGACCATTTTGAGCAAGAGAGGCTTGTTGTGTGGCCAATGCACATGCAACTTGGAGTTTTGTGAGCATTGTGTATTTAGCAAGCATAAGAGGTTGAGCTTCTCCACGGCCATTCATTCAACCAAGGGGACATTGGACTACATCCATTCAGATCTTTGGGGACCTTCTCGTGAGCCTTCCAAAGGTAATGGTTCTCGTTACATGCTTACTTTCGTTGATGATTTCTCAAGGAATGTTTGGGTTTATTTCTTGAAAGAGAAAAGTGATGTGTTTCGTACCTTCAAAGAATGGAAGTCACTTTTGGAGACCCAAATGGGAAGGAAAGTCAAGAGGTTGAGAACCGATAATGGTTTGGAGTTTTACAACCGTGAGTTTAATAATTTTTATAAGGCTGAAGGGATTATTCGGCACAAAACGATGGTCAATACTCCTCAACAAAATGGTGTTACGGAAAGGATGAATAGGACACTACTTGAGAGGTCTAGGAGCATGCTTGCAAATGCGGGTTTGGGTAAGGAGTTATGGGCGGAAGCCATTAACACAGCTTGCCATTTAGTGAATCGATCTCCTACCACTTCAATTGAGTTGAAGACACCCAAAGAAGTGTGGTCGGGTAAGCCGGCCAATTATTCGAATTTGAGGGTGTTTGGTTGTCCCGCTTATGCACATGTGAATGAAGGAAAGTTGGAGCCTAGATCGAAGAAGTGCGTTTTTGTTGGGTATCCCAAAAATGTGAAGGGGTATATAAATTGTGGTGTCCCGAATCACCCAAGTTCCTTATCTCGAGAGATGTTATTTTCAATGAGTCGGCAATGTTGAAGGCAAATGAGGTTGCATCCGAGCCGATTATTAAGGAGAATAAGACGGTTGAGAAGAAGGTGGAGTTTGAAGTGCCGATCCAACAAGGTGACGAGGCCACGTCACATCATGATGATGCTCATATCGAAGAGGAGGAAGAAGAAGATCAACCATTTGCTTTGGCGAGGGACCGCACAAGAAGGGAAATTCAACCACCTACAAGGTATGGATACTCCGACTTTGCTTATTGTTTGGCAATTGCAGAGGATGTGGAGTATTATGAGCCATCTTCCTACAAGGAAGCCATTTCTTCTAAAGATGCGGCTAATTGGGTTGCCGCTATGAATGAAGAGTTACAATCCTTGTAACAAAATGAGACCTGGTCTCTTGTGAAGCCTCCTAGTGGTAAGAGAATTGTGGGTTGCAAGTGGGTGTTTAAGAGGAAGATTAATGTCTCAAATCTCACGGATTTCCGATACAAGACAAGGCTTGTGGCTAAAGGGTATAGTCAAGTCCAAGGTGTGGATTTTAATGATGTGTTCTCTCCCGTAGTGAAACATACCTCCATTCGAGTTTTGCTCTCTTTTGTGGCAATGAAGGATTTGGAGTTGGAGCAAATAGATGTGAAAACCGCCTTCTTGCATGGTGATTTGGAGGAGCAAATTTACATGAGTCAACTGGAGGGTTTTGAGTTTGCGGGAAAGAAGGACCGTGTGTCTTTTGAAGAAGTCCCTTTATGGCCTTAAGCAATCACAGGGACAATGGTATAAGAAGTTTGACTCATTCATGGTGAGTATTGATTTTCACCGTTCCAACTATGATAGTTGTGTTTATTTCAAGAAGTTGGATGGTGGTGAGTTCATTTACTTGTTGCTCTATGTTGATGACATGTTGATTGCATCCTCAAACTTGAAAGAAGTTAGGAGGTTGAAAGAGCAACTAAGTTTGGCATTTGAAATGAAAGATTTGGGGGTCGCCAAAAGGATTCTCGGGATGGAGATCACAAGGGATAGGTCCAAAAGGAAGTTGTTTCTTTCACAAAAGAGTTTTGCCGAGAAAGTGTTACGCCGTTTTGCCATGGAGAAAGCAAAGGTTGTTTCAACACCTCTTGCGGCGCATTTCAAGCTTTCGGCCGCTTTAAGCCCAAAATCCGATAATGAGAAGAAATATATGTAAAAGGTTCCATATTCGAGTGCGGTCGGGAGTCTCATGTACTTGATGGTGTGTACTCGACCTGACATTGCTCAAGTCGTTAGTGTGGTAAGTAGATATCTCTCTTGTCCCGGGAAAGGGCATTGGGAAACGGTGAAGTGGATATTCCGCTATTTGAGAGGTACTATTGATGCTCGTTTGGAGTTTGGCAATGACAAGGTACTAACGGGTTTTGTGGATGAAGATTTTGCGAGTGATTTAGACAAGAGGCGTTCTTTGACGGGTTATGTTTTTACCCTTGGAGATTGTGCAATTAGTTGGAAGTCTACACTTCAAGCAACCGTTGCACTCTCAAGTACCGAGGCCGAATACATGGCAATTATCGAGGCTATTAATGAGGCTATTTGGCTCAAGGCGTTTGTTGGTGAGTTGTCTTCTTTCGAGGGTGGTCTTATTACGGTGTTTTGTGATAAGCAAAGCGCGATACATTTGACCAAGGACCGCATGTATCATGAGAAGACGAAGCATATTGACATTCGGTACCATTTTGTTCGAGATGTGATCTCGGAAGGCAAGATTGCCGTGAAGAAAATTGGTACCGAGTCGAATCCGGCCGATATGCTCACAAAGCCTCTTCCAATTGCAAAGTTCAAGCTTTGTTCAAGTTTGGTGTCGGTTTGTTTCTAACTAGCTTAAGCTAGTTTTATTTCTAGCATGTTGCTAGTGTATCTTTATGTTTACCTTTGTATAGGTTATGTTTGCTTTATGCATTTGCTTTATGTTTTTAGTTTGTTTTAGATGCAATTTGGTTCAAGGTGGAGATTGTTATGTTTTGACCCAAATTGTTATTCGGGCCCATTGGGCTTTGAATCTTTAATATGTAGACTCTTTTGTATGAGGGAAAATTAAGTCTAATACAATTCACCTTTTGAGTCATTTTTTTGTCTCTGGCTCTCTTCCTCTTCTCAAACTCTTGAAAACCCTAACAATATGTATTGAAAAAATAGAAAACAAATTGCTTAATTGAAAAATATGACCACGATCCTAAGTTCCCCAAATGATGAAAGTTAAAATTCAGAACTTCAAAGGAACAACATAAGCCTCAAAATGAAGTCAAATAACAAAATGGTAAATGCAAGTGAAGGATACATAGCATGAGCTCATAAAATAGTTAGTTACTAACTATTATGCCCTGTATTTTTTTAAATTGTAACTGCCCTTTATTTCTTGTTCCGCTGGTAATAATGCTCACTTCTCAGTTTCGAGCATGCTTCACAAATAGGAATTACAAAAGCTGGTTAACGGCTTGGGGGTGATGCAAGTTAGGTGACACTGCTCAAAAAATTAGGTTTAGCAGCCACAAGCTTTACTTGGTAAGGCATATAGGCTCATTTCAGTGATGCGCTTACGTTCCTAATTGCTTAATTGAAAAATATGACCACGATCCTAAGTTTCCCAAATGATGAAAGTTAAAAATCAGAACTTCAAAGGAACAACATAAGCCTCAAAATGAAGTCAAATAACAAAATGGTAAATGCAAGTGAAGGATACATAGCATGAGCTCATAAAATAGTTAGTTACTAACTATTATGCCCTGTATTTTTTTAAATTGTAACTGCCCTTTATTTCTTGTTCCGCTGGTAATAATGCTCACTTCTCAGTTTCGAGCATGCTTCACAAATAGGAATTACAAAAGCTGGTTAACGGCTTGGGGGTGATGCAAGTTAGGTGACACTGCTCAAAAAATTAGGTTTAGCAGCCACAAGCTTTACTTGGTAAGGCGTATAGGCTCATTTCAGTGATGCGCTTACGTTCCTAAGATTGTAATGCTTTATTCTTTTGATTATATAGATCACCTTCTTCATCACTTGAAACATGTTGGGCGCAGAACTACGCCCTCACGCCGCGGAAGCGATATCACCTGAGAGAGAGCCCTGGTTTTTGTTTTCACAAAAGACTCAAGACAACCTCTATATTCCCGTTTCTCAAAGGAAACAAGAACAAAAAGTGAAATACTCAACAAAGTGAGGTATACACTCTTCCTCTCAGCAGTTCTAGGACCGAATGTCGAGGGAACCAACAAGCAATAGTCAACTCTTATTCCAGCCCAACCTCTCATCAGTTCTAGGACTGACTTGTCGAGGGAACCTATAAGCAATACCAACTCACAGTAAAAGACGTGACAACAGATTTATGTGGTTTGGCAAACTTGCCTACGTCCACGGGAGGAGGCGTTTCACTATGAAGCCCCCCCCCCCCTCCTCCAACAAACAAAACATAAGCAGGCCCTCTACAAAATGCAGGATTGCCTAACAATATATACTCCTTTACCATAGTTTTTGTAGTAATGGTTATTTTGAAATCTCTTTAGTCAATAGACAATCCAGCCTCCTATAGCCTTTTCAAGAAATTGCAGTCACCGCCAGGAATTTAGTAAGATATACAGCATATGCATGGCTTTATAGAGATGAACAACCTCAAGGTTTATCCCTCTTGTTTGATACAACTCCTATGCTTACTCATATTCATTCACAAAAGATAGCAACCAGATATCAGACGGGTATTTATATTGAAACAAAATATGGTAGTAAGATGGGGGTACTAAGCTTTTCTATGAAGTAACTAAGCAGTGCTACTTGGATATATGATAAAGCAAAAACAACTTGTGACATCATGTAGCAATCTGAAAGCACAACAATGTTATACAAACTGATATTGCTCTCACCTCAAAGATAGAAGCAAAACAGCATCAGTACTACTGAGAAGGAAAGTCCAGCCGTGGCAGGAGCCAAATCCCGTCAAACTTCTTAAACTGTGAGAAATCAACTTTAGTTTCCGGATCATGATGTGGTCGCTCATCAATCCACATCTCAGTTTAAATCAAACAGCAAAACAAATCTCCGCGGTTCCAGCCAAAAGTCTGTTCTAAATTAGGGATGATAGATGCAGTTCTTTTTGCAACCCACACCAGATGCTGACAAGGAGAAGCAGCAAAATTGGTGGATAAACAAGGCTCTATCACCGATACTACGAACCCTCACCCACTTATTTTCAGAATAACGAGGACGAAACACTTGGAACCCCGATAAGACCTCTCGATCAGGATGGCTAGGGTCACACAATGTCACGGCCAATAAGACCTCCCCATCAGATTCAACCAAGAAGTTGGCCCATTGCTCCCTTGGGATCTCGTCAGTGTTCATCTTAAATTGTCGAACCAAAGGCTGAGGGGGAACAGGATCAATAACATAGAAGCAACATTTACTTGATACGCAATAAAATCTGCCACCAGAAAATACAGTAGTGGATGCTATGATCGAGGATCTAGGTGACTTTTCAGGCAAGGGGAGGCTCAAGCGGACCCGGCGGTCATCCTGCACTCGATAGAGAATGGCATCATCTTCGTCAATCAGAAGGAAAGTGCACTTGGGATCAGAGGGCGGGGCCGACATGGCGCCAGACCCGAGGGAGGCAAACTTTTCAGAGAGGTTAAGGTAAGCTAGGCCGACGCTGGTGGTGGTGATGGGGTTCAAGAGGAAAGGAGTGTCAGAACCAACATATAATATCCAGCCATGGCAGGAGAAGACACACTGGCAAAAGTAGAGAGATCAGTGCACAGACTCAGTGTGCAAAATATTCTTTACCAAAAACCATTTTAATCAAATTCACCAACACTTATTTGCATACCAGAAATTCATGTAGCACTGAAAAGAAGTTCATCAGAACACAGATAGTACAAAACAGTAGCTTGGCCACATATAAGTTTCATCGAAGCATGGTCATCCACAGATTTCATCAGAACACAACTGTCCGGTATTCAGTAGGCTCTGTTTCAGTTACCGTAGATAAAGCTATTTCACTCTTGTCTTTGTAAAGTGGGAAATGCCAGTGGGTTGTGTTGCCATCACTCTACACTTACTTGCCCCATGCTGAAAATAAAACGAAACACGAAAAATTAGCAAATGGATCCATATAAATTGAACCATTTCCAACTGACAAACTTAGTTGGTGACACTGACATGTTTTTGATAATTATGAAGTTAAATGTCCCAGAAATAACAACAGTTAGCGAGGCATCTGATCCAAAATCTTTTGATGGAATCTTTAAATGTAAAAGCCTACTACACATTATACCACTTTGGAAATGTTGGGAATCGTAGATATTGTACTTAGGTTAAAATGGATAAAAAGTTTGGAGAGCAATGTGAGGATCCGTGTTGAGGCTTAATCGGTAGAGTGCAGTGTCTTGGTAACAGCTTGTGATGTGTTCATTAGGCTGTAATTGTTGACAATATGATCATGCAATGTGCACGTCTATAAATAAGAAATATATGCATGCACAACACCCACCAAACCCGCCTAACTCCCACCCTTGTGCACGCACGCACATGTATGAAAGGCATAACATTTGATAGTCTATGACATAAAAACATGTAACCATAAATCACGCCTTAGTTGATATGTGTTATGTTTTGACGCCAAATTGCTATTCGGACGCCTTGGGCTTTGTATCTTTAATATGTAGACTCTTTTTGTATGAGAGAAAATTAAGTCTAATACAATCCACCTTTTGAGCTGTTTTTTTGTCTCTGGCTTCTTCTCCTTCTCAAACTCTTGAAAACCCTAACAATTGGTAATCAGAGCTTACCGTCGCCGTCAGATCGCCTCCGATCAAGCTCCGGCCGACAGGCATCAGATTCCAAGCTTCATCAACCAGCACCCGACTTGTTCCTCTTGAAGATTCTCACAGCATCGGTGATGTCAAAGCCTAGTTGCTGCTGCCGTTTCTAGAAGGTTTCCAGAGCCTCGTGCTCTCATCGATCTCGTCGTCGTCGTTCTCTCCACCGACTGCATCTGAACCGAGTCGCCGTCGACAGCACAGCCTGCCCGCCACCAAACTCCTCGTCTCTGATCCGTCGAGCAGATCTCCCTCAAGTTTGATAAGGCTTGGGTTTATATTGGGGATTTTGCCATTTTTGACCATCTCGCTGCTCAAATTGAAAGCAGAGGTTCAGAGTTTCTTTTTCCTGGGTGTTTGGTGTTTTTGATTAAATTGAAGCTGTTAAATTAGAATTTGGAATGGAGATGTCGTGAGAAATTTGATATTGAGAAGTATGATGGGAAGACGAGTTTTTGCACTTTGACAAGTGCGATAGTTGCATATTGTCCAGGTCTTGGAATTAAGGCGCCATATATGGTAGGGATAAAGTTGGTTGACCGAGCCGTTATCCTCCGATAAGGAAGTGGCTAGATATGGATGATAAAGCTTTCTCTCGACCTCCAATTGTGTTTTGAGGCAATTCAACCACTTGCAAAGAGGTCGCTTTCGAAAGACTGCGCAAGGATTTATGGGGCGAAGATTGGAAGAGATATCTGTACATGAAGAAGTCCCTTACCGAACGCGGATTGCGGTTAAAGTTGCGGCCTCTACACTCTTCCGTATGGTAGAAGGTAACATCCATTTTCCGATCATATTTCGGAGTTTGGCATCATTCGTTAAATGATTTGGACAAGTTGGATGCTAAGAAAAATTAACGAGGATGAGAGACGCAGCTTTACTTGGTTGGGTGCTCGTATTGTGCGGCTTCTATAAGACTTTTAGAGACATGATGATGCTATACCTATAGTAGAGATCAATCACTCTTGAGGATGGTGAAGAGTAATCTACAAGCCAAGTTATATATTGATAATGAATGACAATTTGGAGAAAGGAGATCAAGGGCGTTGTTTGTTGTTGATCGGTAGGTCGAGAGACAAAACCCGAAATAATTCCAGACCCATTCAAAGTCCAGACACAAGAATCTCCATGTAATTAATTGTAAGAAGAGGAGACACATTCTAGTCGATTGTTTCAACGCTCAAGAACAACAAAAGGCGAATAAGGTGCTTCTTGCGGAGGAGGCTAATCGTGGCCGAGTGTGACACCGGTTGAATACTCTTTGTGTGGTAGACACCAGTTGTTGATGGACAAGCATTGTTGGTGAGTGGATACGGGTGCTTCGTCAACCCATGATTCCGAATAGCAGATTGGTTTGAGAACTCTATGAGCCTACGGATGGTAAGTGTTTCATGGGGAACCAACAACATTGTAAGGTTGCTGAAATTGGTTCGGTGATAATGAAGTTCGCATGATGGAAAGGTCCGAGGTTGACGAGTGTGAGGCATTAGCCGATTTGGTCAAAGATTTGATTTCTTTGGGGTCTCTTGAGGAAACAGAATGCAAGTTCACAAAGTGACAAGGTGGAGTCTTAGGGTTGTCTAAGGGGCCTCCACAATCATGAAGGCGAAGAGAATTGGAACTCTTTATTTCTACAATGTTCCCAGGGTCACGGGCTCTCGCCGACCATTGGGCGTTCGGGTACTATCTCGGATGCGGATGCTACAAAGGTTGTGGCATGTATGATTGCATATGAGCGAGCGAGAATGACCATTTTGAGGCAAGAGAGGCTTGTTGTGTGGCATGGCACATGCAACTATGTGGAGTTTTGTGAGCATTGTGTATTTAGCAAGCATAAAGGTTGAGCTTCTCCACGGCCATTCTCATTGCAACGCAAGGGGGACAATTGACTACATCCATGTCAGAATCTTTGGGGACGGTTACTCGTGATCCCCTGCCTTCGCAAAGGTAATGGTTCTCGTTACATGCTTACTTTCGTTGATGATCTTCCTCAAGGAATGTTGGGTTTTATTTCTTGAATAGGAGAAAAGTGATGTGTGTTCGTACCTTCAAAGCATGGAAGTCACTTTTGGAGAGCCCAAATGGGAAGGAAAGTCAAGCAGGGAATTGAAACCGATAATGGGTCTTGGAGTTTTACAACCGTCGAGTTTAATAACTTTTACTAAGGCCCCTTGGAAAAAGGGATTATCGGCACAAAACGATGTGCAAATATCTCAACGAAAAGTGGTGTTACGGAAAGGATGAATACGGACACTACTTGAGGGTCTAGGAGCAATGCTTGCCAAATGCGGTTTGGGGTAAGGGTTATGGGCGGAAGCCATTAACACAGCAGCTTGCTCATTCTAGTATCGATACTCCTACGCGACTTCAATTGAGTTGAGACACGCAAAGAAGTGTGGTCGGGTAAGCCGGCCAATTATTCGAATTTGAGGGTGTTTGGGTTGTCCGCTATGGCACATGTGAATGAAAGGAAAGTTGGAGCTAACGATCGAAGAATAGGCGTTTTTTGTTGGGTCTCCCAAAAATGTGAAGGGGTATATAAATTGTGGTGTCCGCGAATCACCCAAGTTGCCTTATCTCGAGAGTATGTTATTTTCAATGAGTCGGCAATGTGAAGGCACAATGAGGTTGGGCATGCCGAGCGCGATTATTAAGAGAATAAGACGGTTGAGAAGAAGGTTGGAGTTTGAAGTGGCCGATCCAACAAAGGTGACGAGGCGCAAACGTACATGCATGATGATGCTCATAATCGAAAGAGGAGGAAGAGAAGATCACCATTTGCTTTGGCGAGCGGACCGCACAGAAGGGAAATTCAACCACCAAAAAGTACAAGGTATGGATACTCCGACTTTGCTTATTGTTTGGCAAATTGCAGAGGTGTGGAGTTTAATGAGCACATCTTGCCATACAAAGGAAGGCCATTTCTTCTAAAGATGCGGCTAATTGGGTTGTGCCGCTGAGAATGAAGAGGTTACAATCCTTTGTAAGCCAAAATGAGACCTGGTCCTTTTGTGAAGTCCTCCTAGTGGTAAGAGAATTTGTGGGTTGCAAGGTGGGTCTTTAAGAGGAAGATTAAATGTCTCAGAATGTCAGGATTTTCGGATACAAGACAAGGCGCTTGTTGCCTAAAAGGGGTATAGTCAAGTCCAAGGTGGTGGATTTTAATGATGTGTTCTCTCGCCGTAGTAACAATCCTCCATTCGAGTTTTGCTCGTCTTTTTTGGCAATGAAGGGATTTTGAAGTTGGAGCAAATAGATTATGAAAACCGCCTTTCATGCATGGTGATTTGGAGGAGCCAAATTACATGAGTCAAGACTGGAGGTTTTGAGTTTGCGGGAAAGAAGGACGCGTGTTGTTTTTGGAAGAAGTCGCTTTATGGCCTTAAGCAATCACCAGGGACAATGGGTATAAAGAAGTTTGACGCTGCATTCATGGTGAGTATTGATTTTCACCGGGTTCCAACTAATGATTAGTTGTGTTTTATTTCAAGAAGTGGATGGTGGTGAAGTTCATGTTCTTGTTGCTCTATGTTGATGACATGTTGATTGCATCCTCAAACTTGAAAGAAGTTAGGAGGGTTGAAAGAGGGCAACAAGTTTGGCATTTGAAATGAAGATTTGGGGGTCGCAAAAGGATTTCTCGGATGGAGATCAACACGGGATATGGTCCAAAAGGGAAGTTGTTTCCTTTCACAAAGAGTTGCCGGAGAAAGTGTTAACGCCCGTTTGCCAATGGAGAAAGCCAAGAGGTTGTTTCAACACTCTTGCGGCGCATTTCAAGGCTTGTCCGGGGCCGCTTTTAAGCCCACAAATCCGATAATGAGAAAGAATAATAGTGTAAAAGGTCCCATATTCGGAGTGCGGTCGGGAGGTCCTCATGTATGATGGTGTGTAACTCGACCTGACATTTGCTCAAGTCGTTTAGTGTGGTAAGTAGATATCTCTCTTGTCCCGGGAAGGCATTGGGAAACGGGTGAAGTGGATTTCGCGCTATTTGAGAGGTACTATTGATCTCGTTTGGAGTTTGGCAAATGACAAGGTACTAACGGTTTTTGTGGATGAAGAATTTTGCGAGTGATTTTAGACAAGGAAGGCGTTCTTTGCACGGGTTAGTGTTTTTACCCGTTGGAGTTGTGGTGAATTAGTTGGCGAGTCTACACTTCAAGCAAGCCGTGTGCACTCTCAAGTACCGAGGCCGATACATGGCAATTATCTGAGGCTTATTATGAGGCTTATTGGGCTTACAAGGCGTTTGTTGGTGGAGGTTGTCTTCTTTCGGGGTGGTCCCCCTTATTACGGTGTTTTTGTGTGATAGCAAAGCGCGATACATTTGACCAAGGACCGCAATGTATCATGAGAAGACGAAGCAATATTGACATTCGTACCATTTTTGTTGGCGAGAAAGTGTGTCTCGGAAGCCAAGATTGCCGTGAGAAATTGGTACGATGTTCGAATCGGCGATAATGCTCAAAAGCCGTCTTCCATCAAAGTTCAAGCTTTGTTGCAAGTTTGGTTGTCGTTTGTTTCTAAGCTAGCTAAGCTAGTTTTATTTCTAGCATGTTGCTAGTGTCCGTATTTTATGTTTACCTTTGTATAGGTATTGTTTGCTTTATGCATTTGCTTTATGTTTAGTTTCGTTTTAGATGCAATTGGTTCAAGGTGGAGATTGTTATGTTTTGACGCCATTGTTATTCGGGCACCATTGGGCTTTGAATCTTTAATAGTAGACTTTTGTATGAGGGGAAAATTTAGTCTACTACAATTCATTTTGAGTGCATTTTTTTGTTGTCTCTGGCTCTCTTCCCTCTTCTCAAACTCTTGAAAACCTAACAATATGTATTGAAAAAATAGAAAACAAATTGCTTTAATTGAAAATATGAGCAGCGATCCTAAGTTCCCAAATGATTGAAGTTAAAATTCCAGAACTTCAAAGGAACAACATAAGCGCTCAAAATTGAAGTCAAGATAAGCAAAATGGTAAATGCAAGTGAGGATACATAGCATGGAGCTTCATAAAATAGTTTAAACGTAACTATTATGGCCCTGTATTTTTTTTAAATTGTGACTGCTGGCTTTATTTCTGTTCGCGCTGGTATATATGCTCACTTCTCAGTTTCGACGGCATTGCGTTTACACAAATAGGATTAACAAAAGCTTGGTTAACGCTTGGGGTGATGCAAGTTAGTGAAGCACTGCTCAAAAATTAGGTTGTAGCCAGCCACAGCTTTACTTGGTAAGGCATGATAGGCCCATTTCAGTGATGCGGCTTACGTTCCTAATTGCTTAATTTGAAAAAAATTGACGCACGACCTAAGTTTTCCCAAATTGGAAAGTTAAAAATTCAGAAGCTTCAAAGGAACGAAATGAAGCCTGCAAAATGAAGTCAAATAACAAAATGGGTAAATGCAAAGTGAAGGATACATAGCATGATGCCTCATAAAATAGTTAGTTACTACTATTATGCCCTGTATTTTTGTAAAATGTAAGCTGCCCTTCTAGTTTCTTGTTCCGCTGGTAATAATGGCTCACTTCTCAGTTTCGAGGCATGCCTAACAAATAGGAAAATTACAAAAGCTGGTTAACGGCTGGGGTGATGCGAGTTTACGGTGACTCACTGCCTCAACAAAAGTTAGGTTTAGCAGCCACCAAGCTTTACTTGGGTAACGCGTATAGGCTCATTTGCGTGATGCGCTTACGTTGCCTAAGATTGTAATGCTTTTATCTTTTGGATTTCATAGATCACTTCTTCCATCACTTGAAAATGTTTGGTCGCAAACTCTACGCCCTCACGCCGGCGGAAGGATAATCACCGAGAGAGAGCCCTGGTTTTTGTTTTCACAAAAGAGCTCAAGACAACCTCTATATTGCCCGGTTTCTCAAAGGAAACGAGAACAAAAGTGAAATTACTCAAATAAGTTGAGGTTAGCACTCTTCCTCCATGCAGCTAGTTCTAAGGACTGCGAATGTCGAGGGAACCACAAGCTATAGTCACCTTCTTATTCCAGCCACACTCTCTCTCAGGTTCTAGGACTGACTTTGTCGGGGATAGCCTAATAAGCCAATACGCAACTCAACAGTAAAAGAACGTGACAACAGATTTATGTGTTGTGGCTAACTTGCTAGCGTCCACGGGAGGAGGCGTTCACTATGAAGAGAAAACACAACTTATAGCAAGCTCTGCTTTTCCTCACCATTCCTCTTTCCTCCAGCTTGCTAGATTCCCACACGGTTTCCCATCTCACTACTCTCCTACTTTATAGGAGAAGAGAGATGGATGTGCACTGCTGGATCCGGCTGGAGGAAGGGAGGGAAGAGTATGGGGCAGAAGTACAGTAGCATGGGAAGAGGCCACAAGAAGCATGGGTGGACACACACTGTCTGTGGCCCCCCCCCCACGGCTCGCCTCAAACAAACAAAAACATACAGCAGGCTCTACAAAATGCAGGTTGCCTAACGCAATGATATACTCCTTTACCTGATAGTTTTGTAGTAATGGTTTATTTTGAAATGCTCTTTTAGTCATAGACAATCCCCAGCCTCCTAGTATGCCTTTTCAAGAAAAGTTGGCAGTCACGCCGCCAGAATTTAGTAAAGATATACAGCATATGCATGGCTTGTATAGGATGAACCAACCTCAAGGTTTATCCCTCCTTGTTTGATACAACTCGCTATGCCTTATCATATTCATTCACAAAGAGATAGCACCAGATATCAGACGGGTATTTGATATTGTAAACAAATATGGTAGTAAGATGGGGTACTTAAGCTTTTCTAATGAAGTAACTAAGGCAGTGCTACTTGGTATATGATTAAAGCAAAACATACCTTGTGACATCATGTAGCAATCTGAAAGCCAACGAAATGTGTATACCAAACTGATATTGCTCTCACCTCAAAGATAGAAAGCAAAACAAGCATCAGTACTACTGAGAAGGAAAGTCCGCCGTAGGCAGGAGGCCAAATCCCGTCAAACTTCTTTAAAGACTGTGAGAAATCAACTTTAAGTTTCGCGTCATGATGTGGTGCTCATGCAATCCATAATCTCAGTTTTTAAATCAAACAGACAAAACAAATCTCCGCGGTTCCAGCCAAAGTCTGTTTCTTAAATTAGGAATGATAGCGTGCAGTGTTTTTTTGGCAAGCCACACCAGATGCTGACAAGGAGTAAGCAGCAACATTGGTGGGTAAACAAGCTCATCACCGATACTACGAACCCTCACCCACTTATTTTTCAGAATAAAGAAACGAAACACTTTGGAACCCGATAAGACCTCTCGATCAGGATGGCTAGGGTCACACAATGTCACGGCCAATAAGACCTCCAATCAGATTCACCAAGAAGTTGGCCGCATTGCTCCCTTGGGATCTCGCGTCAGTGTTCATCTTAAATTGTCGAACCAAAGGCTGAGGGGGAACAGGATCAATAACATAGAAGCAACATTTACTTGATACGCAATAAAATCTGCACCAGAAAATACAGTAGTGGAATGCTATGATCGAGGATCTAGGTGACTTTTCAGGCAAGGGGAGGCTCAAGCGGACCGCGGTCATCCTGCACTCGATAGAGAATGGCATCATCTTCGTCAATCAGAAGGAAAAAGTGCACTTGGATCAGAGGGCGGGGCCGACATGGCCGCCAGACCGAGGGAGGCAAACTTTTCAGGAAGGTTTTAAGTAACTAGGCCGACGCCTGGTGGTGGTGATGGGGTCAAGAGGAAAGGAGTGTCAGAACCAACATATAATATCCAGCCATGGCAGGAGAAGACACACTGGCAAACGTCGTGAGGCGAAGTTTTGGAGGCGGCAGAATGAACCGCGAAGGGCTGTAGCAAGCAAAGTGAAGAACTGAGTCTTCATCGTCTAAATCGTCGTCGCTTGAAATCTTTGTCCGGAAAGGCCAGGATGAGCCAGGGGGAGGGTGGAGGGCATTGGAGGCTGTGAAGGAAGATGGCGAC